ATGCTCCAGCGGTGGTCTTCAGGATTTCTACTACTGCAATTGTACAGCCGGTTATGCGGGGAAGAATTGTGAATTGAAGGTATAATATGGAATAAATTAGATCTAAGGTTGAATTCAATGGCGAATTCATCAAAACAGTCGTAATGGACTGTGAGTAAATCACATACGAGCGTCGAAATGTCTAGAATGTTGTTGAGTAATTAACAACTAATAGCTGTATGTTGCAAAACATAATTAATGTTGACCTCACGATGAATCGTGTCAACAATCAACAGGCTCATCATCAATTAGTAGCAAATTTAGCGTTGCGTAACAGCAGATTGCTGCAACAAATTACTGAAATTCATTTCCTCGCAAGTAATTATTGCATTTCAATCTGTCAAACGAATTGCATGGCAGCGAATTATTTCGCCACTTAAATCTGCGATTTATTTAATTTGTTGTGATTACTGGACAAGGATGATTAACATGGTTGTTTTTAAGAAAATGAACATTTGAGTGAAATTTTGCAGATAATTTATATCTTCCAAGTGAGTTTTTTGATCAATGCGAAAGGTTAGATGCTTTTGGCTATCAGTTTGGTGGCACTGAAGAGGAGTGAAATAATTGAGGCTCGAGAAATTTCACTGACTGCATTTTGCAGCTAAGTGTGGGTCGATGTGCGAATGTCGACTGCGGTAAATTTGGTAAATGCATCGCAAACGGTTTAACGGTGGAGTGCCGATGTGATCCCAATCATTACGGTCATCGATGTGAACTCACCGTGAGAATACCTGCAATGGTTCGCGAAAGTTAGTTGTGGAGTATCGTTTCGAAATTGCAACCGAATAACTTCTAACTAAACACTCATTTGTTTGATGAATATCCATAAAAGCCAGAAAAATGGTTACTCGTGAAGCATCCAAAGATCACTGCGTTAAGTAATGAGAGCACACGGTCGTATTTATTTAGTTATAGTTCTGATTTTATTCTTCAATTTCAAAACATGTGGGAACTTTTACGATTAGAGAAAATCTCTATTTCCTGTGAGTGAAAGCCGAAATGCTTCATTACAAATAACCCTGAAACAATATTTATACAGATGCCGTTTCGTCGGAAATTATAGACGGTGAACTTTTAGAATTATCATCAAACTCAGTGGAGAGCGTTTGCAAACTGTCCGAAGACGACTTCATTCCGTCCGGCTTCGCGTGGA